TATGTTAGAACTACCAGGACCGTTCTAAATGAACCAAAACAGATTTTAGTAAATGCGCATGATGGAACTGTACTGAACTGAGAACCAAAACAAACCTCTTGTTTTAACGTGAAATTAAGTTAGTCTTAATGTAGGGACTTCATTTCAGTCAGAAGGAAATTCCAACGAAAAACAGTCTCATCCCATTGAATACTAATCAAATTATTTTTTTAACTTAAACCAGTCATGCCTCTTAAAGCAATGAATTACCTATAATTTGAGGGATTAAAATTGCATTCACTGAACAAATTCGTGACAATAATATTTTGAATAATGAAGAAAAGAGAGTTGAAACTTTCTGTTTTTTACCACTTTTATTTGTAACTAACGTTACTACAGTTACGTTCTATGAGGACATTTTCAAACTTATACATTAAACTAACGATGGTTCATTACATTAGCCCTTATACAGTGCATTTCTTTAATGTCCCCCCCTCTTTCATTTTTTGAACTGGTCAATTCAAAAGTGAAATTGACAGATGAAACTTTCAAGATGGCGACTGGGCGCCATCTGGAGAAAAAAATTAAATGGAAAGGGGGGTCTTGTGACACATCATTTTGAAGATCCTGACGAATACTTCACAACCCTAAAATATGAAGTCAATATCTTCACCTACTACAAAATAGCGGAACATTTAATAATTTCCTGAAGACAAACACATTAATATCGATATTTCTAGAAATATTCTTCTTTATCTGCCAAATGGCAATTCCAACAACCTGTTAAGGTTTGTAAAATAATTTCTTGTTAATAAAAACGGAAAAAAATGTCATTTTTTGTTTATAAAAACGACAAAAAATGTCAGTACGACAATGAACACCATTGTTCAGTTAGAATATTCTCTTGTAGTTTTCGGTTTTACTAGTAGAAAGATACCACGTCAACAATCTCTAAAATGGTCAATTCTCGTCCATTGGAAGAAAAAATTGAAGCGATTTTTATTTACGGTGCGACGCGTAACTTTCACGAGACCGAAAGGATTTTCAATGAAAGTTCCGAATCGTCCTATCAGTACAAAATTGTATTCAAATTCACAGCTATAAGAAAAGCAGATATAATAATCGTATAAAATATATTGTATCCAAAGATACATCAATTCACAATTGAACTTAACAAATAAACCATCACATCTTTTCCGATCTGAATATAAACAACTAAATAATAACAATGCTCTCGCCTGGCTCGGTCGAGTTGACTGACTTATTTCTATCCAATCTCTCGGGCCCGGTGTTTTTTCAAGTACCGTGTTTTTTTTTCCACCCATGTCTATAGTGGTTTCATACACAACTACCAGTAGTGTACATAACAAAAAGCTCCCTGGTCATCTGTCCATTCCAGAAGAACAGCAAGTGCAAATAATTGGTGAGATGGTAGTAAATCCTGAACAGTCTACTTATTCCGTCGCGATTGTTTGTGAGGTGTCTCCTTCTACTGTCCACATTACTCCAGACAAGTAAGAAACTATTTGGATACTACTTTTCCCGGTCGTTGGATTGGCTGTCGAGGTCCTACAGAATGGCAAGCCCGCTCGCCAGATTTGACACCTTTGTGGACTTTTTTTATGGAGTTTCGTCTGTCAATTTCACTTCAAAAAATAAAGTATTCAATAATAATAAATTCATTTACAAATTCAAATTATAATTTCAAATATAGAGTATCCTCAGTAAAGTGTATGTATAAACACTTGTTTTCAACAAATAGTTACTCATTAGATTATCATAACCAGATTATTTACTGCCCGAAAAACTATACAGTCAAGCCATAAAGGAAATTTACTCAATTCTAAGAGATAAGGAGAATGATTACACAGCGTTGACTTTTTTGAGCCAAACTAGTATGAAGATTTCTAATTTCTGGAACCAATTAGTAAAATAGAAATTGAGATTGATAATACGGATATTATGATAATTAAAAAAAGCCCTACTCTGCTTAATTAGTTTAAAACATCTTTTGAGAGTGGTATTATAGTTTTTCTGAAAAAAAAACAGCAAAAGTTTACGCAATATATAAAAGTGGCAACAAGAGTTGCTTGAACAATTGTAGGTCAATTTCTGTTCTACCAGTATTCCCAAAAATATTGAAGAAAGTCATGAATTTTAAGTTGATCAAATTTCTAGAGAAGGAAATGTTATTCAGTGGTCAGTATAGATTTCGAAAAGCTATGAGTACAGAGTTGGCTGTTTTGGAAAGAAATCATTACAGATATGGATGACAACAAAAATGTTGCTTGATATCTTTAGACTTATGCAAAGCATTTGATACAGTCATTCATAAAATATTAGTAAAAAATAATTCAACGTTGGCAATAATTGGTAATAATTCAGAAAACAGAAAACATACATTTACCTTAGATCATCTTACATGTATGTTTCCAAAATTAAATCAATACTATTAACATCCCACTTTCTTTTGATAACAAAATCATTTCCTATAAACAAACAACCTGATTACTTGGTCGCTATACTAATGAAATTTTAAATTGAAAGGGATATATGCAAAAATTAATTCAAAATCATTTCCCTATTAGGTAATTTTTACAAAATTATCATATTATATTCATTTCTCACTTATTTACTCTAGAATTCATTACATGACACCCCATTATAGGGCTCTGACACCCGAAAATTTGAAACCTTTCAATAGATTGCAAAGAAAGGTGAAAAATCTAATATATATAAATTACGTGTCACGTTGTTTGTCCGCGATGGGACACTAACTAATAGGCTAAACTATTTAACCGATTTTAATCAAATTTGCATACCGTGTGAAGTTTGATCCAACTTGAAAGATAAGATAGCATACATCTTAATTTATAGTCGCAATATTATTTTATTGCAAATTATTTGATATTCACAATTATCTGTTAACTCCAAATGATTTTAACAGATGGCGATATCTGTTGACTGGATTGAGTAAGTAATCAATAGATGGCGATGCTATGTTAAACCTACAAACGTGCCATACAAGCTACAATTCAAATGCATAACCACCACGTGTTGTTGAGGCTAAAGTATAATTGAATTTATTTTGTAGTAAACGAAATACCTTGAAATTCAATTGTTATACCTGGAATGCCACTACATAATCTTCAATTAAAATGTGCTTCCCTTATTATTCTCCAACGTAATTTGAATCCCCCTCAATTATGCAACAGTACGCATTTGATCATCAAAAAAATCACCAGAAATATTCTTGAAGCAATCATTTCAACTGGAAAGTTTAAAGTAAAAGTGGTCCTATTGCCACGTATTCCAATGATACCGTCAAATTCTACCATACCTTTCAGAAGGCTACAGTTTCCAATTCGTTTAGCTTTTGCCATGTCTATAAATAGGTCTCAAGGCCAAACAATCTCCATTTTTGGTTTAGATTTGGAAAATCCATGTTTTTCTCATGGGCAACTATATGTTGCATATTCATGTGTAGGGAAACCGTCGAATCTATTTGTGTTAGCTAAAGACAAGTTAACCAAAAATATTGTGCACCGATTAGTGCTAAATTAAATTGAAATTAAAAGTATTAATAATTCAAAATAATGAATATTATTGTTAATGATTTAAGACTATCAGGCCTACGTACCTCATTCATAAGTTTAAATGTCACATGTTATTTACTAACAATTTGTAATATACTCATTTGTTACAAAATTGAATAAAAATAATAATAAANACAATGTTTTAAATCAGACAAACTGGTAGAACATTTCAAATATGCATGAAAGAACATAGAAACAGTTTCCAGAATTGAAAAATGAATTCAATGTATGCTACTCACCTCCTCACAGAGGGGCATGAGTTCAATCATAAATTCAAAACTCTTCATTTCCAGAAGGTTAAAAATTAAATCTTTTGGAAAGTACAGAAATTAAAAAATTCAAAATTTCCAATACCTAATGAACAATCAATTCCATTCAAATAATTATACTTTGCTAATTTTGTCCTTTGCAGGTAATCATACTTTAATTTATCGAACTATTTTTACTTGTTGAATAAGGATTATATCCGGTCCTTTCAGGTATTTAAATTCAACCTAGTCATCTGATAGGTCCATAAGAAGTAGCTAATTTGCTAGCGAGTATAGAATGGTTTCAAATTATGAGAAATTTACCATTCCTGCTAGAATAAGCTATTGTATAGTGACACACCTGTCGCAGTTTTGTAGTGTTTTGTTCATAGTGACAATCTCACGATAAACTGAATTAGTGGGTTTTGATATGGATCTTCATCAAGTATCGGTCAGTTACATTCAATTTTTGAAAACAAGGTACTTCAATAACAAGACAATACAAAAATAGAAATGAACAATAGCTTTATACTACTCCTAGATTACAACAGTAAAGAAAAAACTATTAGTGTACTTCCTAAAATGAATGTTTTCCGAAGAATAAATAGGTACCTATTTAGTATTTTAGTACAACTCAATTATAGACGGTAACGCCATCTCTTAGCAACAAGCAGAAATACCCTAATATTTTTGTTGAGAACAATCTTCCGCGCTATTCAATTTTTAAGCTTCACAGGCACCAGTTCATTTATAAATGGAGTTGATAGATCTTCAATCGGTAAGTATTTTGATAGAAACATTTAAAGAGGCTATTGCTTTTACATTTTATACACAATATTTCAAAAATTTGGGTAACTACCCGCAATTAAAAAAGCATGCAGCACAAACAACGCACATAACTTACGAATGAACATGTCCAATCAATTCTCAAAATAATTACAAGGAATATGATACCTGACATCAATGAGCTTGTCAAAAACAAGAGAAATCAGGTATTTGGATCCTCGAGCTCAAAATGCATACCCTCTTTTATTACTTTGATATGATTTTTAGTTAGCTCCTTTTATTAAAATATTTCTGGCAGGCACTCAAAAAGTTTCTCTTAGAATTTGATGTTTTGAATTTGATAAATGTACAATGAAACATATGAATTTGTGAAATTTGTATGCACAAAATGTTATTCATAATGGAATTGAAGAATACTGACCTCGGTCAAAGAATCTTTCAGGTCGATAGTCTGTTCTATCTTGAATTTTGGCAACGAAACCATCACCTCCGGCCTATACATGTTCTCCGTTATTTTCGTCAGATCTGTTTGGGACAACTTCTCCTCCAATTTGGCTATTCCATTTTTGTCGTTGGGCAAAATAATGAGCATACTGATATCCTTGTTAGTGTAAGGCAGTTCCAGAACTTTCGCGTCCAAAGTCTCGTCGATCTTGAAGTAGAACTTTTTCTTCAAGTGCATCATCTGGACATCTACGGTGTTGTGTTCAGTACCGTCGAGATAGAACTTCTCCGTCTTCGTCTGCGATGGATTGAAAGGCTCTGCCCATTTACCTTTGAAGTAGATTGCATTGACAAGTACAAGTCGGGTGTCACTATTCAAATCACCAGAGTCTATGAGGTCCTTGATTTTATTATTTGTCTTTTGTTCCACCCAGGAGTTTATCGTCTTAGCAGCCTTTATGTTTTTGGCGAAGTTCACTAGATCCACTTCCGAGAGAAAGTGACTCGTTACGATGCTCTGGAACGCCTCTTGGAGCTTATACTTCTCCTTCAGAAACACTTTATTGGCCATGTGTAGAGTGACTTCTGCGATGTTGTTCAAGCGTGACATAATGGCTTTGTAACCCTCAGCAGCTACTTTTATATCCGGCACGTTCAAAGCGGAAGTCAGAGCGTCTTTAGTAGCGCCTCCGGCTCCTTGCGATGCCAAAGAGAGAATCGCGTGGATGCTGATAGGGGAGAAGAAGACATTGCCTTCGCCTCGCGACAGGATTTTATACAGGTTTTTAGTGAAGTCGCTGCTTCCTTTAAGAACTGCTGTTTCCGCCATATCTGTTGCTAGGCACGAATATATTGGTAGGCAGAGGAAGAAAGCTGAAATAAATTAATCTCGTTAGAATTTTTTCAAAACACTTAAACTTTATTTAGAGTTTCCTTACATTCAACTACAACATTAACTAGGAAAGTAACCGAAATTTATTCTTGGCTTTTCAAAACTGTCACAATATCATTTATATCTCAATGCTAAAAATGTTGTAGGGAAATGGTTTGATTAGAAACTATACTGTATTTGTGATGCACTGTTTGGAACCTTTGGTGTAATAATGAATATTACTGCAGTGTTTTCCCAACACCAAACCGTTATTTTAACAACTCGACACGACCACGTGTTTCGATCACCAAGTGATCATCTTCAAGAGGAAGATCAAATTGATCAAAGTTCGATCTTCCTTTTGAAGATGATCACTTGGTGATCGAAACACATGTCGAGGTGTTGAAATAACGGTTTGGTGTTGGGAAAAAACTCCAGTAATGTTCAGAAGCTATACTGGATGTTTTAATGAAGTATATCCACAAATGATGTATAAATCTTGAAAAATACATCGATAGATTGACCTTTATTGAGGTAAGTATCCTAATATCCCTAAACGATGTTTTATCTTGCCGTTTGTTCGGGTCAAATTTAGTAATTGAACTTTGACCCCCTTCCTGTTGACATATTTATCTGATATTTGGTACACACATTAAGTTTTGATGACAATACAATATAATAAATTCTGTATCATTGTGAATCCAAGATAGCCGCAGCCACAAAATGGCGGATTATCACATTTTTTTCACAATTACCTCAAAATGGGTATCAAATGACAGGGCCTGACTAATAGAATAGTAGTAGACTTTGAAACAGATGCAAATTCAAGATGACAGCAGCTACAAAATGGCGGATTACATAATATTTTATAACTACCTCAATATGGGTATCAAATGACAGGTCTTGACTAGTACTATAGTAGTGCACTATGATTTCTTATATGAAGTGCGAGTGTGTATCGTACACTTCAGACGTCACGTCACTTCAGACGTCATGTATTCTCTTAAAAACATGTAGAGGCGTCATATCAGGTGATCCACTGGACTCTTCTAAGGGACATCACTTTTTCCTGTATACCGGTTTGGAAAATTAACAAATCCAAGTGAGTGTTCAACTAATATTCCGTTTCAGCAAAATAAGGCGCCTCTTTACTATGACGAGCTGGTTTGAGAGTGGCTAGATGATAATTACTCAAACTAGTGGACAGGTAAACGTTGTCCCTCAGAAAGACCCGCTGCATTACCTGATATGACACCCTTAGAATTTTTGTGATGCCACACAACCGCAGTATTTTCCAGAACTCATGATTATAATGAGAGGTGCTCTCAACGAAATTACCCCTGAAACCAAGGCCGTAACCAAGGGTGAGGGGGATCAAGGGGGATTGATCCCCCCCGAAAGTTCTACAAGCAACGGCAATCCAAAAATTATATTAAATACAACGATTGGCTTGTTTCAACATCACAGGAGCCATGAGAATAACACCAACTGCGGCAATGGAATTAAATACTAGTCTGTCCCCTCTATACCTGTACGTTAAGGAGGTTGCGTTAATGGCCATGTTACGATTGCGCACGGATGGTGTAAACCTCGAAGTAGGAATGGGTCAATTGAGGCTGCGCCTATGGCGAGAAGCGCTCACTACGCAACCTCTGCTCCAGGCAACCAGTGATGCAATTGTACCCAGGTTTGTGTAATAAACCCTGCAAAATACAAATAAAACAGAACACAGAGTCAGATGCTACAAATGCAATACGCATATATACAGACGGCTCAAAAATCAAAGAAGGCTCAGGATGTGGAGTGTACTCCAGATCACTAAGCCTAAGGATTAAGTGGGGAATGGGAAAAAATACCAGCGTGGTTCAAACAGAACTGGTTGGTATCTCAATTGCCACAAAAGAAATAACCAGGAAAGGAATTTCTGGCAAAAAAATAACAATCGGCACTAATAGCAGACAAGCCCTATTAGCCTAGAACAGGCAACGTGTTACCTCATGGCTAGTACTAGAGTGCCACCAAGACTTACCCAAAGCCTCGGTATATGATAACATTATCCTGAGGTGGATTAAAGGGCACGACAAGAGTAAAGGTAATCGCATTGCCGACTCTTCAGCCAAGGAAGCGGCTGGACTAAGAATTTTAGGACCCAGTGGCACCTACGGCCTGATGACTTCGACAATTGCGGAACTAGCCAAATGTTACACCCATGCTCATTCCCTAAAGAAACGGGATGAAATCAAAGGATGCAATCTTGCCAGGATCACCCTGGGCGACCCTTAACAGTAGGATTTCTGACTGGCCACTGTCAACTAAGAAAACACCTCCATAATATGGGGCTAGTGGACACACCTCTATGCAGGATGTATGAATAAAAAGATTAAACTGTAAGACATGTCCTATGCGAGTGTCCGGAGTTACCGTCAATAAGAGAGTGTGCCAGGAACGACTAAACGGTTTGGCGTTAATGTCAGTTCACTATAGAATTGACATCGTTGTTTGCTCCAAAGAAAGCTAGAAAACTAAATTTGATTTTGTAAAAAGATGTTAATTATTCTGTAATGGTTTTCTAATAAATATATATATGATCATGAAAGACTTACCCAAAGCCTCGGTATATGATAACATTATCCTGAGGTGGATTAAAGGGCACGACAAGAGTAAAGGTAATCACATTGCCGACTCTTCAGCCAAGGAAGCGGCTGGACTAAGAATTTTAGGACCCAGTGGCACCTACGGCCTGATGACTTCGACAATTGCGGAACTAGCCAAACGTTACACCCATGCTCATTCCCTAAAGAAACGGGATTAAATCAAAGGATGCAATCTTGCCAGGATCACCCTGGGCGACCCTTAACAATAGGATTTCTGACTGGCCACTGTCAACTAAGAAAACACCTCCATAATATGGGGCTAGTGGACACACCTCTATGCAGGATGTATGAATAAAAAGATGAAACTGTAAGACATGTCCTATGCGAGTGTCCGGAGTTACCGTCAATAAGAGAGTGTGCCGATATAAAGGAGATGTCTACTAGTGACCCATCCACCTTCCTGGAAAGGACAGGATCGACGATGACCTAGGAGGACAAGTCCTTGGGAGGATGTACAATGGGTCACATGTGGCCTAAGTGCTGTGGGCCTACACTCACCCTCCCTACTCTACAGATACAGATTCTATTGGATCAAGTCCTTGGCAAAACGAACCAAGTGCTTCAAAGAGAATATTGAAAAAAACTTCCCCGAAACACAATGGAAAAACCTTAAGGCAATGTGCGTACAAATTTTCAAAGATCTGTGCGACACTACCTGTTTCCACATGTACCCCTGAAAGGATTTTCTCTGCTCTGAAACGCCTCAAAACTTATTTAAGAAACTCCACAAGCCAGGAACGACTAAACGGTTTGGCGTTAATGTCAGTTCACTATAGAATTGACATCGTTGTTTGCTGCAAAGAAAGCTAGAAAACTAAATTTGATTTTGTAAAAAGATGTTAATATTTCTGTAATGGTTTTCTAATAAATATATATGATCATGTAATACAATTGTCTTTCTTTCATTATTTTTATATTTCATGTTTTTCTACTGTTCCACCAAACCAAACCCCCCCCGAAATTGTTTTCTGGCTATGGCCTTGCCTGAAACATTCCATAATGAATTTTTTATCAAACTTTTTTATTGTCAGGAAGTGAACAGTGATCAACTTAAACATTGATTAGAAAGAACTGAAGTGAGTTTAGAGTATATTTTTTCTCAAAATCATATATTTTTTATTTGTTCATAAACCCTTGAAACCAATATACTCAAGAATGGTTGAAAATATGTTTTTTCCGTTAACCAGCTATCGCATCCCTACGAACGACAACCCTCAGAAGTCGAAACTTGTTCGAGTTAAGAACTAACAAGGTCTTACCTTTTAACGGGTTGGACGATAGCGAATGAAAATCGAGCGTTCTGCCTGCGACTTGAACCACTGACTCACACATCGGCCGATTGACTGAGTGAACAAACCACCCACGTCGAACCGCCCGACTACCGACCGACCGACTCAAAAATAATGAAAATGATTTGAAACTTACATTTATAATAAATCTTTCTCCTAGACAGTTTGTCTTCATTCCAAATATTTTTCATAAACCGTTACAAACAAAAAAATTGACATAAAAAATCAACGACAATTCAGTTAACTGGAGTTAACTGAACAGTGCTCTAAAAGTAATTCGAAATCTATAAGCGAGTTTTGCAAAAATGTTGTTGGTCAGGTCATTGGAATCACTTAAAGAAAAGATGAATCATGCTCAAATTAAGTTGAAAACAGTTTTTATAACTGATGACAATACCAATTACAACACGGACTTTTATTACAAACTACTGGTAAACAATACATAATATTTATACTCATGTACTACATAATACCATTGTAACACACTTTTCAACATCAGATATAGCTTTGAATTTCTCAAGGTCATCTGACATTAGCAAAAGGCCAATTGAAGAAGAAGAGATCCAGACAATCATTATGACAATCATTATGACAATAATTATGACAATAATTATGACAATAATTATGACAATAACTATGATAATAACTGTTCTTGAAATTAACACTATTGAATCTGATAGTTTTTGTGTGATGTTATAAATTGTTGAGGAATCATATTAAAAGTTTCCAGCCTGGAATTTTACAATTGGAAAAATTATTGATAACCTGGCGAGTTTGATAAGCATCAGTCGAGATGGATTCATGTTATTTACTAATGAAAATACTGATAAAAATTCAGATAACAAATTTTATGAGTAAACAATCTAGAAATTTTGACATTCGATAACTCATTGACAAACAACATCACAGATTTTGTTATTTAAGTCATTTTAGTGACATTATGAGGTGAAACTTTGAACAAAATGAATTGTCAAAAACAATACTTGAAAATATTTTTTTTAAACTTTGTGAATCCCTTTCAAGAATATAAAAAATGCATGGTTTCCATCTTAACAAAAACAATTGGCAAGTTGAAAAATATCTTCGAAATTTCTTCTATTTGTTTTAATCTGTCTATTAAACTTAAGGAAGTATGAAATGTGTTATGTTGAATGGTCTTTAAAGATATTTCTTCAGCTGTGCAAATTTTTATTCTACAAAATATGAAATGAATAACATTTGTACTTTAATTTTTCAATAATGTATTTGCTACTATAATTTTCGAACAGTTCTAATTGAAAATATTTCACATGTATTGTCAATCAAACTTTGTACTAAATTTAAACTATTCATGTTATAGGAGGTTTATTCATTTATCTATATTATACTTTTCGAAAATGTGTTTATTATCAAATTTTGAGTGCATATTTTTAGACTCCACAATTACCTTATCTCAAGTACCTACTTTATAGATAATATCTAATTGTTACTGAAATTGATCTTTCTCAGAACTTGTGTAGAGATGTTTTTTGCTAAGGATTTTGAAAGGATTAATCATCAAAGTAAGGCCTGTTTCTGACTAGCCCTGCAGAAGTATACACAGACGAAATTCAATGAAACTGACATATACTTGATGAAAATCCATATCAAAACTATAAAAGGTTTACAAAACCGCGACACGTGTTTCGTTATACAGTAGCTTTCTCAAGTAGGATTTGATTTTTTTTAGCATGTAAATATGGATTTAAAAAACTACTTATTCACTAGTCATATGAAAAACAAATTAATATCTCCAATAGTAATTTATTGACTTGTTTTTTGCATTTACTAAAAAATAATATGTATTTTTACCTTTTTTACCTGTATCTATTTGGTTTTACTAGTTAATGAAATGAATGTTCTGATCGGACCGTAGATCAAGATACTGTTTTTAGAATATAAAATGTTTCAATAAAATTAAGTTAATCAAATCCTGCTTGAAAAAGGAATTGTATAGCGAAACACCTACCTCGGATTTGTAAACCTTTTATAGTGGAAAAAAAATCTTATTAGTAAGTTTCCTAGATGTTTTATATTTAGATATTGATAGGATCTGATAAATGTCTGCCGAAAAACATCTGCTTCCCTGGCTTATACCACACTCGACATTGAATTATACAGTTATTGTTTTTGGTAGGTATTAACCATATCCTATTTTGTAGGAACGTTGTGAGAGGTGAGGTGTTTTAAAATTTCATTTAGAATTACTTATTTTCTCAAAACATAGTATTCCTCCTCAACACAGATATGAGACCTATTTTGAGTGTTAGAGTGAGGTAATTTGCATAAGTATCTCTCGCATATAATTCATCCTATTTTGTAGGAACGTTGTGAGAGGTGAGGTGTTTTAAAATTTCATTTAGAATTACTTATTTTCTCAAAACATAGTATTCCTCCTCAACACAGATATGAGACCTATTTTGAGTGTTAGAGTGAGGTAATTTGCATAAGTATCTCTCGCATATAATTCATCCTATTTTGTAGGANATGTGTGTCATCAGCACTGATTTTGTTGTTGAACAGAATTGTTAAAAAAAATATGATTTGCAGAAGTCCGAAATTAAAAGGCCGCTCCCATCAATTATTAGTAAAACTCGATTAATAAACAACTTAGTTTATTACAATAAGCCTATAATAACTGTATATCAAATGTTCATAAACTCACCAAGTACCTTAGCAAGTAACAGAATGGTAATCCCACTCCACATAAAATAACAGTGCACTCAAATAACCAGTTTGAAGCAAAATACTAAAACTGTTTTTCCCTTTCTTTTCAACACATCGTCTGTTTTTATCAATTGATTTTTTTTTATTGATGATTAACATTTTGGGAATTTGTCCTTGAATAAAATTCAAAATAGAACTCACTTCATTGGCAAATAGAGATTTGTTCGTTTGTCTTGAGTTTTGTTGACAAAAACTTATTTATTAAATTTCATTCCAATCTATTTATTGAAGTATTTGAGCTAGACTTTAATCAGATTGTAATAATTTTTTTTCGATCAATATTCGATAAAATGAAAGTTGGTTTTTATTTTTTTCATTGTTTCACGGCTAAATTATCTGAATCCTAATTTGAGAAGCCAGAAATTACAGTGAATTGATAAAATAACATTGTCAGCCGATTTTATTAGATCAAAACATTTAAATTGGTTTTTTTAATCGTTTAGTCATGTTTCAGGTTGGTAAGTAGTGACGATGCTCCAAATTGTATCAGGTTCTCTAGTTGAAAAAAATGAAATGAATAATGTCTAATATCATTGTAGGTAACCTATTTTTTATTTTCCCTTACGGTAGCGTGATCTTGCAATGAGTGAATGAGTGTATTCGATTCGGAGCCAAGCGAGCAGAATCAGATTTGATACCACGTGATCACCGAGTCAACAGAGTGAAATTCATTAAACGAACTCTCGATTCTATATAAAACAGGTGTGTTGATTTTAAAAACCAAGTGCAAATCGAGCAGGTTCAGATTTGATACCACGTGATAACAGAGTAAATAGAGCGAAATATATTCAACGAACATTCAATTCTATCTAAATGACTGGTTGATAATTGAGATATCATCATTATTTGTTATCACAAAACCTCTAAGATATATGATCGATGAAGTTTTTTTCTACAATAGAAGTGTAATTTAGAATTTTTTTTAATATGCGAATATTTTTATGACTATTCCATTGTTTTGTTAATAAGAATATGTCATGAACTCATTTTTGAAAAAAGTGATGTGCTTCGAAACAAGTATCAAAAATATCACTATGATCTAATTATCCAAAAAATATTTGAAACTCAACCATTTTCTTCTTCTCATTAATACCGAACACAGAACAGAGGCAACTGAGACAACCTTCATTATCGAATGCATGCCGAGCGATGCGAGCTAATTGGGCTTTCAGATAATTATTGAACGAACACACCTAAATATGGTCTCAAATCTCGAAAAAAAATAACCTACCTGAATTCTATAGTACAAATTAAGAAGAAGAAAGGGAATTCTGTGGTAGTGGGCTTTATATCGTTTTGGCTAGCGAGGGTGCTGGCAAACTTCTTGGTTTTTATAACTGACATTGGTTCAAAGATAGATCTTCTCCAAAACAAATTCAATGCGACTCTATATAAAACTAGATAAGAAAATAAGTACAGTTAAAAATCAGGATATTCATATATCCGGGAACAGCCAGGAATCGATGAAAATACAAATTCTATCTGTTCCGACTTTGGATTTTTCCAAAAAAGGCCTAGAAAATGTCAGTCGATCTAGACCCGAAAATGTTATAGTGGCATATAGTGGCATATATATAGGAGTACTGGAATCGTCCATTGGTGAACACATTATCTTTAAATTCGCGTGTATATCGGGACACGCAAATTTTAGAAGAAATGAGAAAGCGGTCATATCGGCAAAAATCGGCATGACTCTAAACATTCCATTGGATATCAAATTAAATAAACAATACCTCTTACCAAATAAAAAAAAAGATCAGTAAACAATTCCATGATCAATGGAAAAACAATCGTGTTATAGGTTTGAGACATTCTAGTATAGTGTCGGTGCCGACTTATTGTTCCATTTCTTCTTTTTGTGAGTATATTTTACTTTACCTTAATTTAAGATTGTTTTAAGCCTTCATTTTTTAAACAAGATTTTGTAACTTTGAACAATAAAGCATATTCTCCCTCTCTCTCTCTCAACATACAAAAAAAAAGTAAAACAGAATACCCTCCTCAGGTAATAATCTTTTGTAACTCTGAGATACCCTCAGATACCTTGGTACTGGAAAGTTCCAGCCATGAATAGATGACACATGACACAACAACTATTATTAGATTGAAAACTGGTCATTGTTGCATGAATGGAATGTTTTGTGCTATTCGTCATGGATCCCTTAGTACACAAAAGAATAAAGCAAAAAAGGAGACACAGCACAGATCATATAGTCTGTGAGACACAGAAAGGAGTGAAAGGCCAAAACAAACGGACGCAGGGTTGCTTAACGCAGAAAGATTAAGTCCCCGGACGAAGATTGTGTTCCATGGCCACAGTATACTTATATGCCATGGTAGCAGGTATGAAACAGGAGGAGTAGTGGTTGAAAGCTCCTGGGAAGGAAGCAATGTGGCCATGAGAGAGAAAAAGACGAAAAATGGTCAAATCAAAAGTCAATCTTGAAACTTGGAGTTTGCTTTTGAATGATGTTCATGTAAAATTGCCGTTAAATTATTTTACCTGGTTTTTGATTTGATACAATTGTAACTATTTCATACTTGGGTGCCTGCACAACGTTATTATACTAAGTACTGTCCAAAGTTTTTTTGAAATTCATCGATAGTCTACCGAGAAACGTTTTATAACCTCAAAAACCCGTACCACAATGTTTAATTCTACAAGAATATCAGATGTCGGGCCTCTGCCTAAATTGGATAATCACAATTCCCTTGAAGAAACTACGAAATCTCCGGACCAGAGCTTTTTGCGACCGCAAATAACATCGACGCCTCTGAGGCGGGAAAGTATTTTTGCTACTCCTCCCAAACCTCGAATTTTCAACCCACACAGGTAAATCAGCCAACTTTTCTTTTAGTATTCAATCGAGTGTGAAAAGTAATCTTCATATTTTGGTACATATTGATGAATAATCGATTTGTTGTTGTCAGGTATTCTTTATCGGAAGTTGCCACTCCACCCAGGACCAACAGAAGAGATTTTTCTCGAACGAATACGTCCCAGAACGGTACCGGACCTCTATTAGCTTCAACAAATTTCAATGTTAGCTTGAGCACATATGAAGATGCAAAAACTCCCGGACTTGCTGGTCGTATTGTACAGTATGAAGAAGAAGCTGCACAGGAGAAGGACTTGCGAAGGCGCCCAACTCATCAGGCTAAATATGGCACAGTTGGGTTATTTCCAATCGTTCATCTTTTCAAAAAGAAATTACCCCAGTTACGGGATAAACCAAAACATGTTACCATTAGGATATCATCTCCAGGTAAGTCAATGTTATGCTGGGCATGACCCAAATACATTTTAAACTGTTGCTTAAATTTTCATTCAATGTCTGTGACTTTATTTGAAACTTGTAGTTGTATAATCTGGTTGCTTGTGGGTTTTGAATAATACATAATACAGATAATACAAGTACGCTGAGAAAAAAAAATTGAATACATATGTTTTAATTGAACAACTTTGTAAACCTACCATTTTTCAATATTATAAGCTTATTGACTGGCTTAGTGAAGAAAAATCCTAGTTTTTCAAGGCATCTCAAAGGTTGGAAATGTTCAAAAAATTTGTAACCTAAAAAATCAACTTTGTACACCTGCCAAACTGAGGTATGTTATTCCTGATGACCGCTAAAACTAAAAACTTCAAGTCAGAGTTTTCCAAGCCGTTTGAGGAGGTGGAAATGTAATGAAGACTTTAAAGGAAATCATATCATCAGAAATTGAATGTGTACACCTACAAGATTGAGATATGTTATTCTTGATGTCCAATTTGACAAAAAAACTTCACACCATAGTTTTCCAGGCCGTTTCAGGGGTTGGAAATGGGGTGGAAACTTTTAAAGAATCATATCCAAAATTGAATGTGTACACCTACAAGACAGATGTTATTCCTGATGACCGATTCAACAAAAAAAAAACATCAGAGTTTTCCAACTCATGTGAGGGGTTGGAAATGTAATAGAAAGGAATTAAAAATTCATATCACTAAAAAACTATCACCTACACCTACCATATAGACTATGTCATTGAGTAAAATCTGTAAATGGGTCAAGTAAATCAAGTATTCGTGTTGTGAAAAAAGTTGAACTATATTTCTTTAGTTTTCCTTTTCTTTATAGCTAATATTACAATAGAAAATTGTGTTTTCTTTTTTGTTTTCCACTTTGTTCTATGAATTAATATAACTGGATTGGTTCATTTTATAGACAGTTGGATATTGAGTTACACTCACGAAGCAACCGTTATTTTGAAAGCAGGTTTGTTCCGTACTCTGGGACGTGGTGTATGATTCGTAAGACAAGTTCTAAGCGAGTGTATCATGTGGGTTGCTCATTGTGTTCACTGTATATCTTCTGATGTATACAAGGAATCGAAATTTAGAAGATAATACTGCACTAATCGTATGCACGTAAGTCCTTGAAGACTTCTGAGAATCGCTGTTCTTAGGGGGACGACAACTGGTTGAAGGAGAAGACTATTTGAACCCCACTTTGATCCAATTAAGATTATGAAGTTCTTTAGTTTATTTATTTGATCATTTTGTGCATATACCTAATGAGTATCTGAAGTGGAGGGAATTGTAAAATACTTGAGCAAATTAAAGACGAATTAAAACAATTTCGAATTTAATGGCTTAACAGTGACTATCTATCTGTCTATTTCTAACAACAACCTATGATATTTCACAAATAACTTATACAGAGTATTAAATAGTTAACTAATCTCAAGAAATACAAATAGAATGAGTAATAGGAGTATTTATTGTATTTGTATTAATTACTCGAGGTCGCAAAAGAAATCTTTATTTGGCAAACATATATTTAATATACTTTATCAACTAGACCCTTTTCATTTTCTACCATGTCATGGCATTGTGTTATCAGTGTTGAAACGTTTCTTATCTATTTTTCTGTCCTGTGAAAGTATATAGGCCACCGTTATATCTGCACGTTAACATTTGGTGTCCATGAGAAGTTTTCTCCCCATTTCCACCATCTCATATTGATACTTCAAGAAGAGTACTTCGACCACGTCACTGAAGATGACTGTTGCAGTTGAAACGTTTGGAGATTGTAACCAAAGAAGACCACGGCAAAACCCGGAAACCAACCAAAACATTGATGCCAACCGTGGAAGCCTGCATTCCTTTAGATATTGAGATAGTTATGAAAAAATATGTAATCCGCCATTTTGTAGCTACGGCCATCTTGAAAGTGTACTACTATTCTACTGGTCAAGCCTTGTCATTTAATAGGTATCAATATTGAGGTAGTTGTAGAAAAATATTTGTTAACTTGTCTAACTAATCTCAATAAGTCTGAGTCTACGGAATGGTTTTGTTGCAAAATATGATGGGCGACTGCTGATTTTTCTGGTCTCCCATATTTTAGGTGTGCTAAGTGTTCCTTATATCTTGTTAATTATTTTATTTGTATTTTCTTATATCAGTTAATTGTTCATCACAATGTATACCTAAGTTGTTTTATAAATATCATAGGTTGCTTGTTACAATTAGACAGACAAAAAAAATATAATAACTGCCAAGTCAAGTTTGAATTCTTTTTTAATTTACCGAAGTATTTTACATTGGTCCTTCGAGTAATTATTGAACCGCTATGGAACAATACAATGAAGCAGATGAATCATCACACGTCAAAAATGTCCGACGGAGTGAGAGGCCCATCTTCGAGATTTATAGATATGTCAAATGTAGTAGGTATTTGATTCAAGTGTGGTTACAGGTAAAATTCAACCCGGTCCAAGTAGTTACACAAATTCTGCAAGAAAAGTCACATCTAGTAAAAATTCTCACCAGTGGAAATTTCCTACAAGTGAACTTCGCAAGAGCTCATTTTCTGCTCCACCAGGGATTAACAG